CACCATACACCAAAATAAATTCAAGGTGGATAAAAAGACTTAAATATAAGCCATGACACCATTAAAGTCCTAGAGGAGAACATTGGCAGGAAAATCTCAGATATTTCACGCAGCAACATTTTTACTGGTATATCCCCTAGAGCAAGGAATATAAAGAAAAGAATAAACAAATGGGATCTCATCAAGATAAAAAGTTTCTGTGTGGCTAAAGAAAACAGTATTAAACTAAAAAGACAACCAACTGTATGGGAAAACATATTTGCCAATGATACCTCAGACAAAGGTTTAATCTCCAAAATATACAAAGAACTTACACAACTCCACTCTAAGAAGACAACCAACCCAATTAAAAAATGGGAAAAGGACTTGAACAGACAATTCCCCAGGAGGACATACAGAAGATCCAGAGACACATGAAGAAATGCTCAATATCGCTAGGTATCAGAGAGATGCATATTAAAACCACAATGAGATACCACTTTACACCAGTCAGGATGGCTATCATAAACAAAGCAACCAACAACAAATGTTGGAGAGGTTGTGGGGAAAAGGAGACCTTAGTTCACTGTTGGTGGGATTGCAGACTGGTGCAACCATTATGGAAAACAGTATGGATTTTTCTCAGAAAAATAAAAATCGACCTGCCTTTTGATCCAGCAATTCCACTGCTAGGACTATATCCTAAGAACCCTAAAACATCATTTTCAAAGAACCTACGCACCACAATGTTCATAGCAGCACAATTTACAATAGCCAAGAGCTGGAAGTAACCTAGGTGCCCATCAGTAAATGAATAGATCCAAAAATTGTGGTACATATATACAATGGAATTCTATGCAGCAGAGAGAAAGAAGGAACTACTACCCTTTGCAACAGCATGGATGGAACTGGAAAGCATTATGCTGAGTGAAATAAGCCAGGGGTTGAAAGACAAATACCATATGATCTCACCTTTAACAGGAAGCTGAACAACAAAACAAATAAGCGAGCAAAATAAAAACAAATACACTGAAATAGAGAACAGGGGGACAGTGACCAGAGGGGAGAGGGGAGGGAATTTAAGGGGAAAATATGGGAGGGATTTAGAGGAACAAGTATAAAGGACACAGGGACAATAACTAAGGGGGGTGGAAATGGGAGGGAGGTGGGGTGCATGGGGGAGGGGTGGGCTGGGATGGGAGAAATAAACAGAAAACTGTACTGGAAAAATAACTAAATAAAAATTAAAAAAAAAAGATTTTAGGTAATTCATCAGACAATTATAATGTGTATATCAGTTTGGACCTGCTGTTAAAAAAGCAATAAAATATGAGAAAGGTAAACTTACTTTAGATCTGCTAGTATTGATTATCTGTAAAAGTAGCATAATAATAGTACATAGTTCATACTGTTGTGTTAATGATGAAATATATAGGTAGAGCATTTAGTGTAGTGACTGATGCATTATGTCATTTCAATTATTACATACTAGGGTACTGGTTGAATGCCATGATACAGTCGCAATCAATATTAGTTAAAATGATGTGATATGTACATCTTGCTCGGTGCATGATTACAGTGTGTACACACAAGTCCACATACATACTCTATAACACACTTACTGAGTGTCAATATGAGCCAGTATTTGGCTGAAGGGTTTTCACTATGAATTTCACTTCCGATTCTCATGAACCCTCAAAAACACCCAGCCCTGAGCTTTCCTTTGGTAAGAGATGCAGGAAAAAAGCATTACAAAACTTTGAAAGTAAAACTAAAGCAAGGGTTAGGCGGAAAATGCAAAAGAAGGGACAGTTTAAGAAGGTTAAATTTGCCACTAATTGTCTTTTAGAATTAAGCCATCCTATGCCTGCCATTTTCAGGGAAAGGTGAAAGCATGTTTCAGCACCCACAGGCTAGGCCTTGGAGAGAATCAGTGTGTGCAGCCAGCTGGAATGCGTTTGGACAAGAGGCAGAACACATCTAGTCATTTATTGTGATGATTGCTCTTTGGTTAAAAACCATCATTTAGATACATGGTTTTTATGTATCTAAATGTTGCAGCTGACAACTAACTATCTTGGGTCACATGACCACATCCTACAAATTTTCATTTCCACTTTTTGAACATTTATTTAGTTTGAGAGAATGGATACAAAGGCTATGGAAATAGAGTTTATGTTCTCAACAAATATACAATCTTTTTTGCATCACAGAAAAATAACTCTAAGACATAGAAAGAATATCCTGAGAGGTACAAACAAATCTCCTGGGCCTTTATTAGATTAAAGTGAAGTAAGGTATCAAATGTGAGAGGGTTTTTATCTGGTCAGGAAGATTGTAAAAATCCTCCTGGAGAAAAAGGAATTTGTGAAAGGATTTAAAAAATAGTAAGATAGGAGAAAGTAGTGAAGTAGGGAAAAGTCTTTGGGAATAGAGAAGGGAGGGCATTTCATAGGAACATGCTGTTGCTAGATAAAATACAACATGCTCAATTACATTCGAATTTCAATGAACAGCAAGTAGGCTTTTTTTAGTATAGATATGATACATGCAATATTTGGGTCATACTTAAATTTGAAATGTTCTGGAGGTCTTTAAACAAATAGTAAGTTGTTTTTAAAGGGTTAGATTTTGTAGAAGAAGGAAATGGGCCATAATGTGGGAAAGACATTTTGGTTATTCATAGAAGTTCTTAGGTTCCACACAGAAGACTGAAAACATAGTTTTTATGGGGACTGTAAAGTTTTTTTTTTTAGTGCAGGAACAATATGATCTGACATGCACTGTAGAATGAATAAGATAGCAGTGATGAAAAGGAGAAAAACTGAAACAGAAAATTGGCCAGGAAGTGACATACAGTGAGATTATTAATTTGTTTGGTGATTAGAAGGGTTTGGAAATAAAGAAGGTTGAGAGAGAGTAGAAGCAACAGATTGGACAAGGGACAAAAGAGAGGTAAAATCAAAGATGCTGCGTTGATGCCTATTGACTGGGATGACGATGATTTGTTAGCAGCTGGGAAAGGCATGGGACTTGGTTTTAGGAAAAATGAATAATATGAAATAGGGGTCATGTCAGGAGGAACTGGCAGGGCATCCAGATACAGATTCTGAGTAAGCAGCTACAAATACTCTCCTGCATGCAATGATTTTAGTATTTTAGATATTTCAGCTGTTAAATTTAATAAGTTGGCCACAATTAGAAGCAAAAGACAAACCATTGATCAAATAGCAAAAAGACAGAAGAATGAGAATAATGAAACAATTGTTCTTGATCTTGAAAATTTTGCAGTCAAGCTCAATCATCACTCTTAAATTAGAGAAGTCAAGAGTACATATTGAAAATCAGCAATCACGTTGGTAATTTTTGAAAGAGCTGTTTTAGGAAGGTAGCATGGATGAGAGCTACTCTGGTTTTGGAGATTGAGGAGTGAGCGGATGGAGAAGTAGAAGAAACCAAATGGCTGGTACATGAAGAGAAATTGAGGGGAAGGAGCCAACAGAGAGGGAAGACTGAACAATTTAATAAAAGAAGAGAGCAAAGTTTGAAAAGAATGAGCAGCAATTATATGAACCTCTAGGTTAAGTTCAGAAGTTTTATTACATATATTTTTTCCACTTGCATAATGTTTGGGGTATTGGTGAAAGTACAGACATTAATTGTAAGATTTTGGTCCTTCACTGGAGTTTTGCCTTGGAGTTATTGGTGTATGGAAGGATTTTAAGGGGCTGATGAAGACTCTGAAATAGAAAGTTGGGAGGCTTGTGGATATAAGCTTTTACTACCTTCTCAAAGGTATCATGAAAGGTGACAAAAATTAAAGACCCACTATTCTACATATCCTACAATATGTTACAATTCAGATATTTCATAAGATTGGAAGCTAAGTTGAATTTTAGCCTAAAATTATAACCTAAAAAACCCCTTAACTATATGAGAGTTAATAATAGACCTCTATAAGTTTTATAATACCTCTTTAATACTTCATTCTTAAAAATATAAAGAAGTGAAACAAAAGTCGCTCTGGTGCAAAACATTGTTGATATAAATTAAAGATAATCTAACATGCTGATACATTCATGGACTAGAAGACTTTATAATTTTAAAATGTCAGTTCTCCCCAAACTGACCTACAGATTCAATGTAACCTCCATTATAATCCCAGCAGTCTTTTCAGTAGGGAAAGATGAAGGACCTAGAACATCCAAAGCGATGTAAACAGTACATCCAAAGCAATCTTAAACAGTAAATAAGAAAGTTGGGGGACCTGGCTTCATGACTGGATGTACGGTTGTGGCAATTTAAATGTTTTGATACTGTGTAAGGATGGACAAATAAAACAATGGAAGAGAATAGAGCCTATAAAGACACTCCTACTTATTCAATCAAAGACACCAAAACAATCCAATGGGAAAAGTCCTTTCAATAAGTGATGCTGGAGTAACTGCATAGCCACATGGAAAAACTAAACCTCAACCCCTACCTCATATAAACCAAAAAAGTCAATTCAGTATGAATTATATACCTAAATATAGAAGCAAAAGAGAGATTTAGGAGAATTAAGACACTGTAAATCTTGTCAAAGTCACCACAAATATCATCCTACTTCTTTAATATATCATTTTCCCACTCCTTCTCATAACTAAGCAGTCACACTGAATACCTAGAACCCATTTCACTTCAGTACAGATGACTCTGAGATTATGAAGCAATTGGTTTGAAATGTATATAACTTACACAATAATCTAGATGTGAAATCTGTCTGGCAATGACACTTTCTTGTTACTGTTTATTATTTAAAGTTCAGAATAAATAATTCACTTCCCTTTGATGGACCAAATTGCCTATCTTTAGATCAAATGGTTCCAAAAGAGATTTTATGGTTTTTAGTATAGTTCCATTGTACAGATAAAAGCTTTTATATATTCTCTTCCTTGATGCTCTCTCCTCTGCCCATTACCAAAAGAAAAAAACATAAAACCTGACATTAACAGTAAAACACGCAACACGAAGCCACTTACCGGAGCCCATAGAGAACTGTCCCATCAGGATGCAGCCGGATCATTCGGTTTTTCACCGTCACCCCATGCACGAAGGATTTCTTGTCATTCAGAAAGTAGGTATCGGGCACCCAGAGCTGGTCAGCTACCCTGTTGTCTAATGTGAGGTTCAGTGGGATTCCAGAATAAGAAAGCCTTTTGTCTTTCCAAGACTGCTGGAAATACATGGTGAGTGTATAATCCTGTGAAATAAAGGAAACGAAAAAATAGAATTTTACTATCATCATCATCATCATCTGACAGCTTTCATTAAGAACGTGATAGCTTGTGGTATTGTTGATGACCAGAGACCCTTGGTCCTGCTGTCCCCTAAGAGGTTACACTTGAATATGTTAGAATTTGCACCTGTAAGTATAAGGCAATCAGTAAGTTAGAAGTACTAGACCAATAAATACACGCACAACCATTTCCATCAATATAGGGAAAACGCATTTAATGGAATTTTAAAGTTTGAAGTTAAGGTGATGATGTCAAGAGAAGGTCATAAAGGAAAATTATACCCAGAAATCCATGTTTACAAAAACAGACCTCTGGATTTTATACTTACAGTACTCCATATTTTGGAGGAGAATGCTTGCTGAATAATAACTAAAATGTATTTACTTAAAAGGAGAGGGTGTTTCCAAACTCTAAATGCCTTTTGAATAAATACTGTTTTTTGTTCTATAAATGTTATCAATACCATTATTTGACTCTTTCTAGCACATGTGAACTTGTCTACCAGTCATAAAAGGTAGTTTATAAAGCACGTTTGGATGGGGGTGTTTATTTGGGCTGAGAACACCACCAGTGGTGGAACTGCTCATCCGTTCTTCTCTTATCCTCATTCCTCTGCTTTTCAGGAATTTGTTTGAGGTCACAGTTGGGTCTGCACTTGAGTTTGTTTCCTCACCTCCTATAAAAGTTACACTAAGGATGTCCCTTTGCTCTTTTCTTTCTTCCCAGGTTTCCCCTGGCAGTGAGAGAGAGAAAAATGTGAGCAGAATAAATGGATCCAACTTATAGGAGAGGAATGATGATCTTCAATCTTTGGTGGTTGTCTGTTTGTAAAGAAATCTGTTGATACAAAGGGTAGTTTTCCATGAAAAAAATCAATGGTAGCAATGAAATCATAAAGTATTTAAGATGTGGGCCCCAATATAACAAAAACACAAGGTACACTTTTTCTTTTAAATGGCATTTATGTGTCAACAGTGACTCTATGAATTGTAGCAGTTAAAAAAAACACCATATACCTCCAATACAATGTATACTGCCATAGTTGTACAGAGTGGTATGTACTCCGTATTCACTAGTTGAGAATCACTGACTCACATCATGCCTCACATGTGGGCAAACTGCACTTTAGCTAGATCCCCACATGGATATCTATGCATTTCTGAAAAATCCTAAAAGATAACACAATACTTATTCTGGATAATCAGTTCCAGTGTCCTTCAACCACTCTATTTAAGAATGCTTATACTGTTTATTTAGAAAGCATCTTGTAAAAATTCAAAGCCATTCTTTCTTGTTTGACAAGGACATTTGTTATTTGCTACTAATCATGCAATATTCTTTTTAAAGGTCTGAAACCTCCTTCAACCTTACCTTTAATTCAAAAAAAAAGTGGAACACACAGGCTTATACACAATTCTCTTTTCAGTTGCTACTATTCTTATTTGTATCCTCTTCAAGTGCTTTCTTTCCAGAAGAGAAGAAGTAGAAAAACTCTAGACCTTGGATTCCGAAACACCTTGACTCTAAGATCCACCACATGTGGAGGTGTGTAACCATGAGCAACTAACTTAATACTTTGTATCTAAAGTGCCTCATTTAAAAAATAAAAATAATAGTGTTTCACTGGTTTATTGTGAGCATTGCTTGGGAAAATTATAATGAAGGTATTTAGAAGCAGTAATATGCTATACAAATATATTGTCTTCACAACTGATCATTGCTATTTAAAGATTTAGATCATACTTACAAATTACTTGCAGTGTACAGATTCATTTTCATCATCATTTCTATTTTTAAAGAGCTGTTCATGAAGGAACTTGTATGCAGAAGGACCCCTTTGATTAAGAAAACAAGCAATTGTCTGCAATCATTTGTAAATTTTGGTGCTGGGATCTTGTTTGCAATTCAGTCAGTAGCCAAACACATGTTATTACAGATTTTGGCAAGGGAATTAACACAATCAGCCATGGAATATATGTGTTTCCACACTCAGAAGCTTCTAGTGTCTCACAAGTACTACAAAGTATTTCCTCACAATGAGTCCACAGTGTAAAAGTATCACTTTACCTTCTCTACAATACCATTTTAATGTGTAATGGGCAAAGACTTATTACTGTAAAGTATAAAGGGCTATAATAACAAAATAAAACTCTAATCATATATGCTATAATTAAAGTATGAGTTTATGGTAAGTAAACAATAGAGAGTGAAAAGGTGAGAATAATGCAGGCATGAATCACCCCTGTGGAGAGTTAGGTGTGCGGGGGGCTCATGTGCAGGTGTGTGTAGATTTTTCCTTCTCTTTATGGAAACTGTTTTGTTTTCTGTGGAGAGAGAACTACACACATGCAGTAAGACCTTGGCTCTACAGAGCTCACCCTGTTTTCAATAAATATTGACGAAAAGTCACATCATGGTTCTAAATTAAAGCAATAACTTAGCCTATTTCCAATAAGAAGTAATTTGGTGAAGATTTATGTGTGCTCATATGTTACATCTGGAAGTGCGAGGTGAGAGGTAAGTACCCTGTGGAACTCTTCTTATGCTTGTCTAGGGTTATTATTCTCACCTAGAAACTGACCTGATTTCATGATAAGTGGAAATATAGACATATGTAATTCATAACCTTAATAAAAACTTTTGAAGTTAATGATAATTGTGTTGATAATGATGAACATTATGAATAGACCTAAAACATAGAAATCTTTCCTTTTTGTACTATGTGCATTATACCACATGCATGATAATATTTTTTTTTTCTTGAGAGTGCTCTGTGCTCTGTGATGTTTATAGCCTTTCATACCTGCTAGCACAATTGTTCTCAGAACCTTGTGAGATGGGCAAAGTCTCTATTATAGAATTTATGAGTCTGACAGACAACTTGCTGTACCTTAAATAGACTATTCTTTCTCTCTAAGCCTTAATATAAATATGGACAGTGACATTTGAATATAATAAAACCTATGACATCATTTTTGTGTGTCCCATTTTTAGATAGAAATGAAAGGCTTAAAATTGCTGTATTTTTTCCTTTCATACAACAGATTTTCAATTGATTCTTCATTAGACCAAAGTGCAAGCACTCCAGGAAGAATAAATAATTTTTCAGAAAAAAATCAAAGGCATTAATACTTCATCCACAAACACTAAAATCACTTTTCTTCAGGTATGTTTCCAAGAGTCCAACCAGCTTTCTGAAGCGTGTAAGCTACTCCTTGAGCGGAAGTGTTACATATTTAGAGACTATGGGCCTCAGGGGATTCTTTGACACTGAGGCAAATGAATAGGATTAATGGGTGTGAGGTTGCTAATGAAATTGGTCAGGCTAATTCAGGCATGAGAAAATTTAATTCATTGAGGAGAAGCAAGATAGATGATAGCAAATTGGAGTGCTCAGTCGAGCTCCAAAAGGACATACTTTTAAAATCTAAAAATGTTGAAAGGAATAAGAAAGTATATTTAATAAATAAAAATGAGTCTTTTGAAGAGTAAAGATAACATCTCTTTTACATAGTAGTTTTAAACTCAGGGCGATCTTTGCTCCCCAGAGGATGTTCAGCAATGTCTGGAGACAGTCTGGTTGTTGCAGCTGGGAGTTACGCTGTGTTCCACCAGCATCTGTGGGAAGAGGCCAGGGATGCCCCCACATAATGCACTGCACGGTACAGCCCCCGCAGCACAGAATTATTTGGATCAAAATGTCAATAGTGTCAAGGTTAAGAAACTCTGTTGTAGCTAAAAATATCTTTCTTTTTAGTATTAGTAAAAAATTTTCAAAATATTTTATCATTTTCATCATAAAAAGTATGTATATTAATATGTTTACCCCAAGATTTTAATATATTCCCCAAACCTTTGTGAATGGGGCACTAGATCATTTATAATTTGCTTCTTTACCATAAAAAATAATTTGGTAAAAAATCCATTACTTTTAGCATCAGAGTAGGGCTAAAGAGTTATATGTTTTAGGCAAATATTTTGAGGTGTGTGTTTTACCAGAAGGAGCTCTAAGAAGGCTTTATATCAGTTGGAAAAGCGAGAGTCTCTTGTTAGCTACCTCCATGATCAGCCCATTTCAGACTAATTTGTTTGTGAAAAGACAAAATATTGTGTTAACATCTTGTAATATTGCATCCACTCAGAAGGATCATAAGAGCAATCCCTCTTTTTAAAATTGTTCTTGGAAAAAAGTCTATACACATATAGAAAGAACCAGGGCTCTCTCACACATTTGTATTTTATTTTTCATCAATTTGAATATACATTATGTGGGGTCCCAAATACAAATCCCTCTTTCCTGAGATACATCTATACCAGTTTACTTGACCTTGAGATCTGCTGTTTCCAAAGCTAAGGCTGCTTTTCCCAAAGGCTGAATGTAGTAAAGCTGTGCATCATTGCCTACCACTTCTACAATCACTTCTGTGATGGAAACTGCCCTGCCTACAGCCCTGGCTGATTGACAAAGACCACATTTTACATCAATAATGCTGCCCTAGCCCACTTTGAGAATGGAGAGTAGATGTCTGATTTATGAGCATTTGATTCAGAGGCAGGCAATAAACTTATACCTGGCTCAAAAAAAAAAAAAAAAAGATGAGGTGGACCAATCAGAGTCCTCTCCCAGAAATTTTCTATTGGATAAAGGGTCTGAGACAAGAGATGTAGGACCAAGTACAAAGGTCATGATATTTACTAGGGCTGCACTGCTATTGTGAGGTTAGGAAAAAAAGAAGAAACCAGTCTGTAGAGGAAGAAAGAAAAAAAAGAAAGGTGCAGAAAATAGCCATATGAGGGAAAATCTGGCACGTTATAGAATGAACAACCAAGTTCATGAAGACTTTCTACTTCCTATTTCTATTTCTTGTGAGGTCTGGACATGTTCAATACTTCAATTTTTTATGAGCCCTCTTGTCTTATTATGACAAACCCCACTTTTCTTGTCCTAAGCTGATTTCATCTT